AATGCTCTGCTAGGTTGCTTCACAACTCGAATGTCCTGGACCACGCTCTCTGTTAGGCAGCTGTGAGCCGTTTTCCTTCCAGTTTTAGGTTCCGACTGAGGGTATCTGTTTGCCCTTCATCGTAGCACCTTCCATTTGGCACCCCAGGGGAAAACTGTGTAAGTGCCAACCAGTACGGTGCACAAGTGAAGCAAAACATATTAAAAAAAGGATAAATTATCGGTGCTAACCTGTAATTCATCTACCATTTCTTTGATCGAATTGTACTCAAAACCGGCAATTTCATAGACACCGGCCTCACTTCGATTCACTATTGCGTTGTAAACCTGTAAGTACTATTACTGCCGTCACCCCAGTAGGTAGTAATATCCTAGGAAACATCCGTTGCCATTGGCAAAGTCGGTCTTCGGGCGGGGCGGGGGAGAATGGGGGAGTCCGTCCCGTTTTGAATGTTAATTCACATGAAGAATAATAAGAGCTTTCGCCTTTGATCCACCCTTCTAAAGATGCAACTTTATCCCTGCTTCGAATGGGGCTTTTTGGAACTTGTTGAAAAGGCCTATATAATTACTAGCAGGGCCAGGCGATATTCAAGACACTGATTTTATCCTCTCAGACAAGTTTGCTACCATTTCACAGATGGCAGAGGGGTGAAGGGGTCGGCTGGTCAGAGCGGGAGCCTATCCAGGATTCGAGCCATAGAGTACGCGCGTGTTACGCGGCGTCATTTTCCATACACCATCCCGCTTGTTAGTACTAGAAGCACCAGTGAAATACACGCTCGAAATATTCCGATAAATAAAAACACCCCTTCTCCCAGGAGGTTTTCAGCAAAGGACAAGAGGAGCGAGGCAAAGAGACATTGCGAGCGCTGGTGAGAGACCAGAGACATGTGATGGGAGACCAAAAATACAATGAGATGACAGGACCGGTTCCACGCAGAACGCAAAATCGTTCCTTTCTGTGGGAAATCGCTGCTGATGGAAGGCATTCCAAGGGCTAGCCGGATTCGATGTCCTTGGCACTGACTTTCGTTCCGCGAAAGTGGTACAAGTTCTGTAATTACAGACCAGGCCACCTTTTACAAGAAAAGAAATCTACCTGGTGGAATGCGCTTTCGAACACGTACCTTTTCACCTTCTCTCACAGAGATACAGATCGGTTTGTTCTCTACCATCAATGACCGTACCAAGAAATCACCGTCGTCTTTAAGAATCAAGGCAGTGTCTTCATTCGGTATAAAACCGTGCCAGTAGTCCTTCAATTTTTTACCTTCTCTTGACGTACAAGCAGTTTCTTAAAGACACTAGCTTCTCACCAAATTATACTCTTCTCTGTTGGGTTCTTCGACGCTTATTGAGCTAAGTGTATCCTTAAAGATTACATGTATTACGCATGTGATAGGGCTAAGGCGCATTAGAGAGGACTCAGCAGTCCGTGAACCTGATACCGTAACAAATGCTGTTGCAGGAACCCCTCCCCTAGCTGAGCCCAATGCGCGCACGAACACAGCCGCGCGCTCAAAGGGATGAAGTCGATTATTCTCAAAGGCACGACCTGCTTGTACGCTACACACCCTGATGGGGAAATCTTAAAACGATAAAAGGCGGCGCAGTTGCCTACGAGCGGAGGGGGGGAGGGCATTTCCCACTTTCCGCTTGCTTCACTTATTCTGCGAAACCTCTGTGAAACTTATTGTTGAAGCTGGCAGCAAGCCTTCGTCAGCCGCCATGCAGGGGTAAAGCCTTGTCAACTCGACAAGAGGCTGTCCAGACATGCCCCCCACGGCAGCCGTTGAAGTGCGAAATGTCCCCCGTCGCCAAACAGCGCCCGATGAAAGAATGAAGTCTTTGCGTGCAATAAAAAAATCCTTTTGTGGATGAGGCGCGCATTCTTACTCAGGAACCACAGCAGCTTATTGGATGCGATGTTGCTTTTACAATTATTTGTAAAACACAGCCACCGTACACGTCAGTGTGGGTGAGCAGTAGGTCCGAGGCTAGCACAATCCTTGACCGTTGCGAGGCCATTCTTGGCACTCGGCAGACCATTTGAACGGCGTATCCTTCTTCAGGAGAGCATCCAACGGTGCACGAAGTTGTCGCATCTCGCTGACGAAGTGACCGTAGTAGTTGAGCATTCCCAAGAACGATCGCACCTGGGCGATGTCCGTGGGTTGTGGCATCTTGCGAATAGCCTCGATCTTGACGGGATCGGGTCGGCGTCCGGTTGAATCGATTGACGTTTCCCAGGTATCGGTGTATGTTGGCCATCAGGAAGTTAGCATTTCTCGGATCCCGGGACCTGAGCGATATTTGAATATCCTGCGGCTTCCAAGTTGGCGACGTGCTCCTCGACGCGGTGACGATAACGTCGTCGAGGTATGCAGCGCAGCCTTGAAGTCCGCAAATCATGGAATCGATGATTTGCTGGAAGATGCCTGGCGCAGATTTGATACCAAACGGGAGGCGGTTGTAACGGAGAAGTCCTCTGTGCGTATTTATTGTTAACAACTCCTTCGCCTCGTCGTCGACTTCGATCTGGAGGTAAGCGTCCGCGAAGTCGATCTGCGTGAATGTTGTGCCGCCATTCAATTTGGTGAAGACGTCGTCTGCAGTGGGCAGTGGATGCTGATGTAACATCAGAGCGTCGTTTAGTCCGGTAGAAAAATCAGCACAGAGTCGTAGTGTTCCATTTGTTTTCTTGACGACGACAATAGGTGCTGCCCAGGCAGAATAATCGACTGCAGAGAGTACTCCTTCTTCGAGCAAGCGATCGATCTCGGCGTCCAAAGCCGTGATGTAGGCGTACGGCACGGGGCGTTTCTTCTTGAAAAACTGGGTGAGCATCCGGCTTCAACTGGAGCGTCGCCTTGGTCCGTGTGCATCGTCCGAGTCCATTTCTGAACACATCGGCGTAGTCGGCCTTCAGCTTGGCGACGATCTCCTCTCGGCAGGCGGCGGCAGGATCAGCAAGGATGGTCGCACCACTGATGTACTTTTGCAGTGGTTTCACTAGTTCTGGGATCTTCTGGATCCATTCCCAACCGAATAAGTCGAGATCTTCGGTGACATTAGCAATATCCATGCTTGTTGATGCTTGCTTCCATCGGAATTCTTCAACGCAAATGTCGACCATGCACGCGTCACTAGTTTGGCGATCCTCTGTACATTGCCGCATCTGCACGATGCTTGTATTTCTCCAGAGGAGGCCTTCCCGATTTTCCTCCAGCTCGAGCTTGAGGTCAGCGTGATCATGGCGCCAGTGTCGAGTAGAAAATTCAGAGAACGTCCATTCACTTCGACTTCCAGGTGTGGTTGGGCGTTCTCGCGTAGAGCAGCCTCAATGCTTCTGATCTGGTAGCTCCTTGCACCGCGACGTCTGGTCTGAGAACGCGACCGGTGAACTTGATTCCTGATTTCCAGATCGTGGGTGAATAGGAAAGTGTGTCGTGTCTTCTTTGCTCTTCCGCATCTGCTTCGGCTTGAAATTTCTTCTTTTCCTCCTTTTGGCTACGTAGTTGACCGTAGCAGCAGCACCGGCAGCATTTTCCAGCATCTTGGCGTCTTCTTTGTAAGACTTGATTAGCTGGCACTCGGCGGTGAGGTCCTTGATCGAGATGTTATCGTCTTGATCCAGCTTCCTCAGAAGGCGTGTTCTGTAGTCTGCAAATTCCGCTCCTTGGAATCCGGCCACATCAGGCACTGTAGACCATCGAAGTTGATAGCGTCGAATTTTGACATCAGAACATTGACGTATGCACAAGTGTTTCGCCAGCCGAGTCCGTAATATTGATCGATAGTGTGTCTGCCAGCACCATCAAATTTCCGGCGAAACAGCGTTTTGGCGCACATCCCGAATTAGACGCAACATGTTTCGAAACTGCTTCTTCCCAGACAGGTCCGACGGCGGACTTTTGGCGCAATGGAGCCACAGAACAGCTGCTGACAGTCTTCATCCAGTCGGCTGACTAGGAGGCGGGTCCTCTCGTGTTCGCTCAGCTCTGTGCAGTCGTTGTCCTTGAATCCGCTTCGTAGCCACACATCGAAGGGTCTTCCCGTTCTCCGCATCGAAGTTGAACTTGTCGATACGTCGGCACATGGAGTCGAAAATGCTGTGTTTCACAGTAGCTGGGCACGCCTCGACCATTCGTTGCTCCATCTTCTCCAGCATCCGCAGGAAGGAATCGGCGGTCTCCTTGTGCTGCTGCTGCATGAACTCGATGGCCTTGTCCTGACGTTCCATCCGGCGTTCCATTAGAGCGAGAATATCGGCCAGCTTGTCCATGAGTCCTTGATCCTGATCGCCAGTTGTTGAATCCGGAGGCAGTAGGCAGAGTCGGCAGTAGAAGAAGATTTATTAGACGAATGAAACTCAACAAAACAGTGGGGTTTATATACCCCCATGAGATCAACATTTGGGCGCCAAAAACCAGTTCACTTGCCCCTCAGGCATGACAGACCACCGGGCGCAGCACCACCCACCCGCTATCACTGGTCAACAATGCACCACCATCGCCTTAATCTATCACAACATTCATGTCATCCAGACGACGTCTAGTCCACCATTTCAACCGAGTCTGTCGGGCGGCGGGGGCGGGCGGAAGATCGGTTGGCCTGAGCGGGAGTCGACCTTGTGCTTTTAACTCAGGACCGCGCGAGTGGTGAGCGCGACTTGTCACTACACCACCTGCGCCTCAAGGGTATACGGCGCAATAATTTGGTACGCCAAGTCCAAAAAAGGTAGCAGTGGAGCTATATACTTGGAAACTGGGGAGAAAATAGAACGGTCAGAAACCAGCAAAATGATTTGCTCCACACGACTTAGAAAGCAATTTCGGCTCGAGTTTCTCGTTAACCCTCGTGCCACTAGCCGCATTTATTGCCGCACCTACTGTACTCATATTACCACGCAGCACCGCAGCCCCTTCATTTTCAACGCTTCGATTCACATGATAATTCGCAAACAGAGCGGTCAACATCGGCATCGGTCGGACGCTTATGGGGCTGGCGGGCTTGGTGGGCGTCCGGCGTCCGGTATGTTGCAGCTTGATAGTGCGCTATAAGAGTACCCTTCTTGGAACAGGCGTCACTTTAGCGTCTGCTCAGGGGTGCCGAATTCTATCCTGCGAGGAGTACTACTCCTACACGTCTTGGAGATCTATCGTGTCACTTGCCTTCAAGAAGCGGAATTCCCGGCAACTGAGCGTCCATTTCTTTCAACCAAAGCTCTCAGGGAGAGTGGATTCTTCCCTCTCGCAGCGAGAAGTAAAACGGTCTGATTGCTGTGCTTGGAGGAGGCGATGAAGGATGCGATTTAGGGCAATGCTGTTTTGGCGCATACCAAAGATGTTCTCCCCACAGTTCAAGTGGGTAAGCGATAGCAATGCGTGGCAAAAACGACTGATGCGAGATATGATACAGTCTTGTCGCCGGCCTCGCCGTCAACAAACGTTTGGTGGCCGCGTTCACGGCGTTTGGCCCAACGCATCCCGCCTGACAGCCCCTCATAGCTAGGGGTATGCAGCATTCGGCACCAAGAGCGGCTCGTTTCACTAATATTAGGCGCTAAAGCATACAAGTGTGAACTGACTCTTCGCTACCATATCACGGCGGCCTATCTAGCACAACTGTTATCGGGTTCGTCTTGCATCGCCACCGAAAAGAGGAACGGTCACAGCAACCTTAAAAATTTTGTATTTTGAACTGAGTGTGATTTCACTTTAAGCTGTCCGACGAGATCAAGTCCAAGTGAGCGATGCCGCTCTCGTCTCCACGTGCTCTTTAAACACTTTATTACTCTCAGGTCTGCTATTCATCACTACTGCATCGACAAGATTGTGTTCACTCTAACAGTCTATTAGGCTGCAGTTGCACTCTATTTTTATTTTTTTTTTTTCTCTAGGGCAATAAGTGGAACACGTTTTTGGCTCAGTTCCTTACAGATTCGCCTCGACTGTATTACTTCCGACTTTCTTTATTTCGCCAAGCTACACTAGAAGCTTGGCGCTGGAGTGACGCCAGGCGGGTCACCCATACGCACGGGCGTAGCATGTACTAGATCCAACTTCATGCCTGCCTAGGTTTGAGAAAACAGTGATAGGGTAATATGCGCTCATGTGTAACGCGGAATGCAGAGCGCTGATGATTGCTGTCGCAGATGCATATCTTTAGGACCACTCTCTAGCGGGGCTCGAGCACGTCATGTCTGCACCCTCTCCCCGAGAAAGAGCAACTTATAATATAACACTCTCAAGCTCAGAACATGTCATCCTCTCTTCTAGGCGGCCATGACGTAGCTTTGTCGCCCAGAACATGGCGTGGCTCAGTTTCATTGAAGAACAATCCCTTCGGAAGAACATAGCACCAGTGTGACCACTGTGACGACTGGTCACAACTTTTTTAAAGGTGTATTGCACCAAGAAGTCTGCCAAGAGTACGAACCGTACGTCTGGATCGTCGCGATCTCTTCTTTACTTCACGAAATATACCCGACATACTTCTCCGTGAAACCTCTTCTTCTGACACCTGAAAACTGTTTCAATCTCAACAGTCTGAATTTTCAGTGGTTATATACTCTGAGCTCGCTATGGTACTATGTATCTGCCCCATCTGCAGGAACAGTATGTTGAGTTATCTTACCTCTCTGATCGAATATGCACTTTTTTCTTATGAAGCAAGCATTGTTGCTGCCCAGCCGAAACCAACGAGGCAACCGAAACCCACCTAGTCGACTCTTAACGTTTGTGGAAATGAACCATCCCTGAGGTCGACTAGATCACAATCACCCTACCGTACCCTCAAAATCTCCGAAGTGCGGTAGGCGTGGCTGCGTACTTGAGTTGAACGTGGCCGCGGCTAAATTTTTCGTCAGTTGGTCAAATTCGGGACCATTGTATCGTGGCTTGTGCTCAACGCAACCAGATAACAGTTGTCTCAATTTGAAATATCACACGAGTAACCCACCCTAGACTACGATCGGAAGCCACGACTACTCTCCCCCTCCCACCCCCCCCCCACCTCCCAGCGCGATAAGGGGTGACAGAGCGTATTATGTATTCACTAGGCCGTGGGGTCTATGAAGCCCTGTCTGGCTCTCACGAAATTCATAGCGCATCGTGTCTTAAGCAAACAACTGGCCTTCAAGAAATAACTGCTCAGCCGTAGGACGCTTTATAGCGGAAGATAACAATGAGAGGCTTTGGCGGCAATGCATGAATACTGTCGTATGTGCTGGGGTTTATCGCCACTGAATTCTTCACTCAACGCGTGTGTAACAGCGGATCCATGCTAGTTAAGTGCAAAAGGGGTATGAAAAAACGTTCACCATATTGGTCCCATAACCCAGCCCAGTGTTGATACTCAAAAGCCAGAGCTCAGCGGTCACCATTCACGCGAAAATGACAGTGCCCAGATTTTGGATACTTACTGCAGCCTTTCGTAAAGCGCTGAACTCTGGCCTCTTTCTGACTGCCTATCTAACAATGCCTCCAGCTGCCTACCTTCTAGTAAAAACAATACAGATCCTCAAAAAACACCTCAGAATGACAAACGGCTGCCTCTCTCGATTACGGAACTGGAAAGCCTTCTGAAGCAAGCAACCCCTTTTTGCTTTACGGATAGCAACAAGTTAGCCGATGAAGTAGTGTATCGGATCGGCGATAAGTAATGGTGCTTTGGGGAAGCTTGGGGAAGTGGGGCGAAGCTTTCTTCTTGCCACTAATATTTGAAGTGTCGGGTCGACGAAATTGAGCATTTTCGACAGCCTCTCTTTTATCTCTAATTAAAAAGCTGGAACCGCACAGGTCCAGTTGTTGAATTTACGGCCAAGAAGCTATGTTCTTAGGAATGCTTACAACGGTTGCGTTATTCGCCGAGATTCCGACTTCGCAGGCAAGCATCGAACCTAATGCCCTACTGAGTCCAACTGAGAGCTTACTGAATTACTTTATTCACCGGAGAGTCATGCCAAAGAATGAGAAATCTTTAGAGGTCATGAAATGCTTCCTTATCATAATCAAACCTCACAATCAGTTGATGTTAGACATTCGAAAGTTAGTGGGTAGGTTCTGCAGGCAGTAGCTCCCCAAGAGTCCTCCATTTACAAGGTCCGAATTCCCATCTCTTGGTTGCTTGAACCAACTTCGAGTTGTCATAAGAAGCACCTTTCCTTGGTCGCCT